AAATAAAACAAATCGGCATACGTTGTAACAAGCGCCGTCTGTGTTAGAAACACACGTAGTCAACCTGATCATTCTTGGTTGAAAATGAGCATTTGCTTTGAAGTGGAACTAATTATTCCTCACTGGTTGTAAATGTCCTATAATTGCTGCTAATTATTAGTATGAGCACGCGATGATAATTGTTTTCCGTGACAAGTGCTTAAGGTTCGTCATACCCAGAGGATTCGCCACAAATTAAGATAGCATGGTCTGGAAGGACAATACAGTTTATACAAAAAAAAACTTACTCCAGGCGGTATGATTTATTTATCTAAATGATAATTAGCTTTAAAGTGTCAAAGGTTTTATTTGCTGAAACGTTAACTGGACCTCTCGCTCTAAGTGGATTACCAATTAACCTCTTTCGAGTGTTATTCTTTATAACTGAGGTCACGTGTTTAATATGCATCGTGATAAAGATAAATGGGTATCAGTCTGACAATTTTCGTTTTGATATTCTGTTTTTTTCATATCATTGTTAAACTAGCAAATAAGTGGTATCAGTATCAATTTGTATAAGGAACTTCTGAATTCTTTCCATTTCAATCAATACAAAAATGTGTTGTATCTATTTCCTGTTGCATTATTATATAACAAATTAACTGTAAAATATAAAAAAATCACTTCGATACATTGAAAAAATATCGAACAGTCAATATTGCTGAAAGCGTTCTGGAGAATGGTGTTTACTACTATGCTATGTTATGACAAATATTTTTAATCAGACGCAGCAAAATTGAGGTTTTCTGACTTCTTAACGACTGCACTTAAACATGACCAATAGTGTATTGACATTCAAGAATATTAACTTTCAGTTTTAGCTACGGGCTTATTTGCAGCTATATCAGTGCTCAGATGGAATTTTGAATCGGATATCGCAATTGGCAATTTGAGGCAACGTAATCAAGAAAGTTGAAAGCATTTTTCAAATATTTTGCTCTAACTACTTATTAGAAGAAACATTGTGCCCAAGACCTAACACTGACAATTTCAGCTGAAGTAGTTGATGCCTAAGTATTATAAAAGGCCATTGTCGACGTTTCTTATTAACACAAACCGATTTGTTCTAAACAATTTACAAATTGCCGAAGCATTTTGCCATAAAAAGATATCACAACACGATTGTTTCATTTTTCCCTAATTGAGTAGAAATGGAACATCCGCGTCGCGATCTGATGGTTTTTTTTTTCGAAATTTCACAGAAGCAAGAAAATACCAACTAATTTTCATCAACCTGTATCTCATGAAACTCTGCTCTACAAGTCTGTCCGTCAGTTGATATCTTCTTGCACGAAAACGTTGATAATTGGAGCAGGCCCTTTAATATCAATTACAATATGTAAACACCATAGGTTGGGGACGCAGGAATAGTTTGTTTTATCCAGAAATGAAAAAAAATGAATAATTCACAATAAGGAATTTGAAATCATCACGTTTATGCTTATGTTTCTTTAATGAGCCCTGGCCTCGTATGAAAACAAAGACAAGTCAGCCAACAGAGAGGCACAGTTAGTTCCCATGTCAATATTCTGTTGGAATATCTTACCACCGAACTCGACGAAGACATGTCAAACAGAAACCTGACGATTTTAAGTATTATCGTATATTTCAACTTTGTTTTGGACGTATTTTTTCTCGAAATACACACCAGTATAGTTCACAATATATTTATACCGCTGTTCACCTTTCTGGGGAAAGAAAATTTCATAACGAGAACGAATGCATTCCTTCAGTTTTGGAATATGTTATGTTGGCATACAGAGTAAAATTATCAGACGTTCTTACAAAAGTAATGTTTTAGAAAAGGGTGCTGAAGATAGGTCAAATGATCGTTTAAGTTCTTCAGTATCAACCTACAAATAATTCCACTTCTTAGGAAGTTTAAGAATCCAATATAATTTAATGATGTCCTAATCCTTATCATTATTAGGCAGCCTGAATGATCGTCTTACCCGGTACAATGTCTTTTCAGCCCTGCAGACACGCAGAAAAAAAATGTTGTTGTAGCCATTTCACGATGATAAGAGGCGACTAAACTAATTTCCTAATAATTGTTCTCTCTTTTATAAAAATCTGTTTGCTTTCTTTAAAACAGTTGTTACTACTCCATGCATTTCTTTCAGCATTATGACATACGTAGCGAAACGACTGGTTCACTCATTGTCAGTATAATTCTACCGTATGGGATATGGATGCTTTTGGCAGTATACTTCAGTGTGGTAGCACTATAAAGTCGGCTTCAGTTCTGCATTGTCATAAGGAGTCACTCACAAAAATAACAGTCTCCCGAAAACACTCACAAAAATAAATCTCCAGAAAACACTCACAAAAAAGCACATGAACAGTCCTAGCTGTTGATAGGAAGTTAAGTCATATAAACCAAACTAAACCAAGGAAGCTTAGATTTTTCTATATCATTAATCAGTCAGTACATTTTTTTGAAATATAGCCTGTTTGTTAATGTATCTTCAATAATTCTGCTGCTTAACTATTCATGGTAAAGCCCTGTTTATATAGTGATAGAACTGCTGTCAGGAGAAACATCTCGTGATTCTAACACCAAATGGTATCCGCCTAATGCTTGACGTCTGATTTTCAGATTGTATTTATATTGTACATACGTTATGTTAATATGGTGTCGATATTGATTTATTTACTCTGGATTTATTTGATTAATTAAAGAGATTTCTACATCAAAGCGCCTTCATTTGTATCATAATCTCTAAGAGTCTTAAATGATTGCCACAGTAATTCTATGTACGTAGTTACGTGTAGGTTGACGATCTGTGAATTTCATTGATATCAAGCATGGCGTTATAATGAAACGTTTTGTTGGGGTTGATCATCGTGTTAAGTGTAGAGACTATGCATTGAGATTAAGATACCATTCGAGCAGGTTACAATTTAATGATATAATTATGGCCACGTTTATAGACATCAGCAAACCGAAACTTAAAGTATAAAAACATAATTAAGTGCAGCTAATTTATCAATTTATAAATATGATTATTGTTTTTTTTATATTACATCGATAATACATCGGTAAAGGAGAATGCCGCTGAATACAAATAAAACATCAGGTCCAAGAACTAAGATTCAGGAGTATGGCTTGGAATCCGATTTTGATAAATTAATAAGAAAAAGGAAGGGAAGTTTAAGGTATGATAAGGAAATCGGGATTCTAGATGCAAAAATCAGCAAAGCGCTATCATGCTGGATGCACAATAGTACGTCCGGTGGTTTATAACTTTGGTTTGGGAACATGGCAGCACTTACTCGAATTGACAAAGATTTACATTACCGGTGTCGTAGACGAAGCAGAAGACGCTTACTGCATGGGATCGCATGGTCTAATGCTCATTGGATTTCTTCTGTTCATATTTGGACCAAATATTATCGATGTAGCGTTTGAATGAATATTCTCTTGCCGTCTAATATTTGTTGTTTAAATACTGATTGCATCTGATGTATTATTGACACGACAGAACCGTGCATTAACCAATGTAACAGTTGCTTCTTGTAAATGGCCGGTATAAAACAACACATGCCTAAAGGAGGTACTCCTCTGATGTTTTGGCAGGAAGTAGGACTTAATTCAATGAAAAAATAACTCCAATTTAATATCTTCGAGTTTTGTCTTTGATATACTTAAGTATCTACAGCTCTACTGATAGATTGAAAACAGGTGAATCATATGACATTTACAAGAAATTTCGGTCGTGGATGAATTTTTTGACGTCAGATAACAGCGTCAACGTTTTCTGGTTGCTAAGGTATTTTTCTTCAGTATAACTCTGAAAGTCTGAGTAGATCTCAACTAGATTATCACCACAAGTTACAGATTTCAAATTCGTGAATTCCGACTGGGCGATCAATTTCCCGAATTTGTAGGACCCGAAAATAATTTTTTCAGCTGGTTTCTTGATCTTGGGGGGAAAACTAGCTATTTCAGTGAAAATTGCAAAAAATAAACCAACCTCTTTGACATTTGTTTTTCAAGTCAAATAAAGGATTTATATAACTTTTGGAACATATTCATTTTTTGGTTGCTATGCCGTTTAGAGCTAGATCAATGGAAAAGGTTCAATTATCACAGCATTTTGTTGTTAATATCCAGGTATCATACACATACTTTGTAATGAAAGACTAATATCTATTTCAAAGATGATTGCCGCTAACATAACAGAGAGCATCTGTTGTTCAGGAAGAATTAAGAATGAAAGGTGGAAATGAATTATCTCCTGTTAACACATTCGAACGCCTGTATCGGAAAAAGTACATCTCGATTGTTTTTCTTTTAATCTGCTTTCTGACATCAAACCTTTAAAAAGGTATCATCAGAAAAAAGTCTAATACTGATTTTTTTTACTTCTCAGAGAAGTACATCCTTGAATTATAAATCATATTCGTGAAATAAAGAATAAAAATTTCTGAAAGCAATAGAAAGAAATCATGAATTCTGTAGTGACTATAGTTCCTTCTGTTAAAGTTACACAAGCTATACATCTAATGAAGTAATTCATGCAGAAGAAGATAGAAAGTATGAAAACACATCAAACATAATTTAAATAATTCTTTTAAGAATTCTTCTGTAAATAAGCTTTTTTATTTTAATATAATCTAATTTTATATAAATGGCTATGTTATGATGTATCTCATATATTTGAAGGAAAATGTCTTTATTGTACCGAGCTTAAAGATAGGAATTAAATGTGAGAAAAACTCGCTCCCCTCCGAGTTCAGAAATTGAATTTCTGTTAATGCAAACTTGTTAATGTTAAAAATATTAACATGATGGTCGTTTCAAAAAAATCTTGATAGTTAAATTTAAAAACATCAAACATGACAAAACGAAGTTACAATTTAAATGAGAAATAAAGTTTCAGATTTATATGGAGAAAAAAATGGTGTATGTTTCCAGTACACGTTTACAAACAGCACTTGAGTTTAAAATTCAATACCTGTATTGCACGTCCAAATCCCAAGAGAACTACATCCGCAAGGGCAAGAACGATTCCCACTTGAAGAAACTTCCTTAAACACGGCATCACCTGAACCATGATACTGAATGGCTCTGAAATCACGCTTACGATGGCGTTTGGTTGACAGCAGTTGTGATGAGTGACTAGCGAGGTGGCTTATATACCCAGTCAGATAATATGAAGTTATTGAAGTGTTAACTACCGACCAATTGTTCAATTATACAGTGAAGGATTTACCAATAAACTATCAAATATTCATTCATCAACTTTTCTTACGACACTCTGATCCTTGACTACTCCGACTTCCGGCATACCCGTGAGAGTCACGTGCTAGGGGATGTAACAGGGTGTGCTGTGAATGCGTGGCTGTTGACTTTAACATATCGATTTTTTTACATGTTGTGTCACGTGCTCAATGTCGATTGCATAGTTAACACTGATGTATGACGTCTTTAGGTGTTTAAATAATCCCCTTCGGTTCTTAATTTGAACATTGACGAGAAAATTCTGATAATTATGTGAATACCTCCCAAATCGCAACACCAAACCCTCAAGTATAGTAAATAGCATGCAATCACGTAAATAAAATGATAAACAGGGACTTCCAGACTCTCAGGTCTCTGATTGTTAATAATTGTTAATTAGCTCTTTGAAAGTTTTCTGAAAAACGCCATGTGAGCATTGTGTGCGTTACGTTGGTTCGAAGTCAGATGATGCCAGGAGCAACATTTGTATCAGCAGCTATCAACACTCAAATCGTGATAATTTTATCTGAGAATTGAATGTGTTGGTGGTAAGTAACGTGTGATAAATACTAACTGCAGGAATATCACACCAGCTTTGGCCGCTCAGAGCTGCACCTTCTGTAGGCGCTGTTTCCGTCTTTGGTTCTCCAGTTACTAACACCAAACCACAGTCGGTCGGTTTTTGAACTATGATTATTATCATAGGTCAGACAGACACATAAAGTCTTTTATTCAGCTTGAAGTCTTTGATCAACATAAATCGTTAAGAAATTATTGATTCTGGCACTCCCGTGACCAACGTATTTCCATTCATCAAAAATGAATATAGGCTAATATTCCATAAAAAACAGCCAGACAAATTATCTTGTATCCTCTTTTACGCTAGAATTATGGATTGTCTATTTCTGTTTCAGTGTATCAAGACCTAGAAACACAATCTGATTTGCACCGCTTTTAGGCTAAAATGCTTTTGTAATTAAAACACAATCTACATGAGTGGGATGGATTTAAGTGAACATCTTAATGTCATATTTGTGTATAGTGCTAATTGGGGTTCAGTCCGATGTACAGATATCTAAATCATCGAGATGATGTAGGCGGCTGCCCGAATATAATCACTTATCGCTGACGTCACTAATCAAATCAGTCAATGAAATTTCAATTGTATTTATAAATATTTTTTCCGTAGGTTGTTTGAAATCTACCAGCGTTTTTTCTTTTGGTTTATTACAGTATTTTTTTCAGTGCGTGCAAATTCTAAATGTCATATCATACACTTATTTATTTATTTAGGGAAGTTTTAAGTTGTAAAACAAGTACGGCGGATTACACGTACTTGGAAACGGAACAGAAATTTCCAAACGCGAAACGTGTGTATTTAATATAAAACTCAAACAGCCACGATTGCTTTCTACATGTGTGTGTCCTAAGCATCACTGATGAAAAATAAACAAAGAAAACATCAACTACATCAACATGCACGCGCGTTAGGAAAAATTCAAATAATGAGTTATTTCCTTAAAACTCATCGAATATTGAAATATTATCGCTAACTAAGGGATTGCGTTATGTCAGTTTATATTTAGTTACGACCGATTTTGATTCCATTTTCTCATCTTGTTGTCTTCCAAACTATAGGTCTGTTGCATCGCTCACGAAGCCCAGTAAGTCGGAACAGCTTTGTGATGCAATTTGTTTCTTAATCTTGATAAACTAAGATAATTTTGAAATAGTTTTTTTTTTCTCGATATTGTTAATCCTTCACGCGAACTTTTTACTTTGTAGCTAATTGCGTAATGCTACCCTTCTAACCAGACCACTTGTTTCACTTCCATTTTTCACCTAATATCCTACTTCCCAGTTATCTTTGCCTATATCGCTTGCAATCTAGCCTTCTGTTGATCGTCTTTTTCTCTCTTTTTTATTTTTCCAAATAAGTCTATTTTACCATAAATTATATGTAATACTTGTTGTTACGCCTATGTGCCACGTTTTAATTTCATTATTAGAAGATTATTTCGCTTCGGAATTGAGAGGGTAATGCATGTACGGCATTAGTTTAATTTCAATTTTGATTTTAAGTCCTAGGTTACGATGTTCGATGAAAGTCGAACAATTTTAATTTCAAATAACAAGACATTTATTAACCACGTCGGCAGTATATAACCACCAGAATTTGAAATAAGGACACGGGACTCTTCTGCATCAACTGCTTATCACGATCCTTTCCTACAACGAAATCAATATGGACAGTACCTAGCCGTATGATAATTGTGATTATTTCAAATTTCCTTTTGTGAATTTTCCATTTCTGGACAACAACTCCCTGCATTCCCAACTTATGGTGTTCACATGTCAAAATTGATTCGATGTCCCGATTTTCGTTTCAGAAGTCGGCCACTAGAGTGGTATAAGGCTCTTCTGTGTTAATACCGAATTAGTATGGGAAAATGAAGTTCATTCGTCTTTTGTAAAATGTTCGAGATTGCTGAATGTGTTGCCCTTTTTCAGTCTTCAGTGTTTACCGTAAGATGTATTTGACAGTCTTCTGAAATTATCAGACATACAATCACCAGTTAGATTTGGAAAGCTCTTTCGATCAGTACTGGTTTTATTCTCCTAGGTTTTTAAATTGTAGTCCGTGACAAGTCTTAAAAGTACGAAATATCTGTATGTTGCAGTTCAATTCATTATTTCGCTCCACTATTCAAAATTATGATGTAAAAAGTATTTTGTATACATTTATGGACATATTTTTGCATTGAAACGATTATGTCAATATGACATAAATATAACAAAATATCTTCTCGAAATATGTCATGATCTCATCCTTTGGTAGGATGTATTGTATGGCAAGTATTCTTTCCCAACACCGAATCCTCTATCCTTACTTATTGAAAAAACGCAAAAAAAAGAAAAGAAAAAAGTATATTCAGAATTTCTTTTTAATATTTAATCCCTAATTGAATAAAACTAAAACAAATACCTATCGTCTCCCGTAGAAATTACTGATCAAGAGGCTCAAATTATTTGGTTTGTCCATCCTTAAACATACAGCTATATCCTACAGGTAACAAAAATACTTTGTTGAAAACAATTGAAACAATTACTGACAAATTTACAAAAAAAAAATCTTAAAAATGAGAGGATACACATTTATCTGCTTTTTCAAAACTTTACATCAAAAATGAAAGAAAATGTTTGCGTTGTATGACTAGATGTAAACCAACCCTTGGTTTTAGCTTCATCACATCTTAAGTGTTAGATACAAATTATGATTATTTAATATCTAACTGGATGTAACATGTGACAGTTTCAACGTCATGGTCTTCAACGCTGATATCAAGGCAGTCTGGACACATGTGACACATTGTATTAATCTATTTTAGACATTCATCTTCGACACAGACGTTTTATGTTCGAGAACTGGGAACAGCCTGTCAGATTTTAGTTAACGCGACAGTTAAAGACATTCTCTGTACATCTGCGCGTTGGTGAGTGTCCTTGATTGGGCAGACATCTTGGTATTGAAAACGCTTACACATATTGTATATTATACAAAGCAATTCCTGGGTGTGTCAATAATCTATTGTTAGATCTTACCACCGACCTCGTCGAAGATATTGTCAACCAGAAATTTGAATTTGTTTTATCATTTCCTCTTCCACGTATTTCTTTATTTATTTAGCGTATCTTAACGAAATACCCGTCATTGTTATTTGTCCTTTGGACTGCAATATCATAGCAAGAGCACGATGTCATTTTTCAGTTTAGAATGTGGTATGAGAGTGGAAAAGTCAAATATTCCAATTGAAGAAACACGTTTTAGAAAAGGGTGTACCAGATTGGTTAACAACTCTATGCTTAGAGGTCTATAAAACCCATATACTTTAAATTCCGCTTCAACACAGTAGTAAACATGTAACCCAGATTCGATAAAACTCAGCATAATAGTAAGAAAGCCTTTGTTGAAAACGCTGTTTCATGGATTCTTATGATTTTCGAAATCCAATAAAAACAAGGGAGGTCCATATCCTTGTCATTTATAGGCAATCTGTATTGTTGCACTACTGAAGCATGATTAGCCAGTATTCTTTGAAAAGTTTGTATAATGCAAAAGAAGGTTTTCCTTATCTAGCGAACAAACCTACTTCTTGGTAGGAAATGTTATGATGTCTCGAAACAATAGCCACGTTATTGGATTATTAATCTGCTGGCACAATAACTCCTCGTGTAAATCGTAAAGTATGGATTTTACAATAAAGAATATTTTGTTTTCATGTACGATTTTAATGTGTTACTTCTTTTGAGAACGATATACAATGTGGATGTGATTCACACTGACATTCCTATTCCATCGCATAGTTTTCCATTATTGCAAAATTACATCATCAATATACACTAACTTTACACAGCTCTCTGTGATAAAGGACCAATCAGAAACTGTTTTCTTATTGTCGGTGATTTCCGTTCTGCTTTGATTGGATATTTAAAATATAGAAATATTAGAAACATAGAATTTGTTTCTCTGTTTCTTATCAACAAATCCTACAAAACGCAAAAAAAAAAAAAAAAGACAAAGATTTTCTCTCAGACTTGCATTTGGTAATTAGATCAAATATAGTACCATCACCTATCATCAATGATCCGTAAAATAATAATTACATCCAGTACAGAACTATTGAGCAGTGCTATCTACCAAGGTCATATGCAATCAACAAGAACAAATGCAGAATAACCTCGCACGCGCAAAATGCATTTTATATTGATTAATAAATACACACGAGACCAAGGGTATTGCGAACTTGACTACTATACTGAAAGGACAGAGAA